AGAGTAAGCCACTCTCAACGGGATTTGGAGAAGAACTGGCTCCGCCAGAGAGATCTTGGCCATTTCCAAGTGGGTCCTAGGTGGAAAGATTCCCCCTGAGTGGCAGCAGATCACAGGGGCTGTTCCTTTGAGATTGCCCGGGGACCTCTGGTGTGAAAGTAGCAGAACCGCCTCCTTCACATTGCTCCCCAGCTCAAGTGCTGGCGAAAGAATCCAGAATGCTGCTTCACCTTGATCCCCTCCAAGTGGAACGTCCTCAAGGACACACAAAGGCAGGGGAGAGTGGTGGCCTATTTTCTCCAGGTGAATTTAAATTCATTTTGGGATTAAGAGCACTGTGGACACTCTGGGCACCTACATGCGCAAAGGATGCAGTCTAAAAGTATTAAGTGACGAGCGCTAAAGCCCACATCGGCACTGTCTAAATCCCAGGGTGGGACCTTCATTAACTGTGGGACCTTAGGCCCCTTTTACCAATTCTAAAAATTCTCATCAGTAATTGGAAATCATCGTTATTTTGTAAAGCCATTGCCAGGGTCACAAACCATTGAAAAATCCTCACACAGGAGGGGCTCCACAAAGTCTAGCCAGTTTCCTCATGGCCATGCCCTTGGTGGCTGTGGGTCCCTTCCTGGCTCTGCCACCTGTGCCTCTTTCCCTAGGACTCCAGTTTGCTTCTTTTTACTTTAGGCCTTTCCCCAGTGACTCTCTCGTGCTGGCAGGACAGACTGATTCCTTTCTAGCTATACACATGCCTCCTGGTCCATGTGCCCTAGCAAAGCATTCCATCGTCCTTTGAGAAGGTCATAACCAAACACTTGCCATTTTCACTACTTGAAAGCTATCTTTCAATGGCATTAATTCACCACGTTGTGCAACCATCCCACTAACTACTTCCAAAATGTTCTCCATCCCCTCAAATACAGACTCTCTACCCAGGAAGCAATCACTTCCTCTTCTCCCCTCTCTCCTTAGCCCCTGCCGCTAACCAACTGACTATGCATTTGCCTATTCTAGACTATCATTTAAGTGGGCTCAAACAATATTTGTCCTCTTGTGTGTGATTTACAATATTTTCAAGGAGATAGCCCATATTTTAAGCTATTAAAACATGATCTTTCCATTTGCTTTTGAAACACTCGCGTGCACACACACACATGCACCGAGAGAATTTTGGTAGCCCTGCCCGACAGTAGGAGACCCTGTGGGGCTTGGGTTAAGGAGCACTCTGCTCCCTCCTCTGCACGCGCTGCTCCGGGAGAGAAGATGGACCACGCATCAAGAGACCACGCAGGACCTCAGCCTGGCTAGATCCATGCATCAGACCTGCAGTGGAGCTGCTAATGGACTCCTCCAGCCATGCTCAAGCTATCATGATCATTCTATTGAATTGGTTTTGGAGGTAGGTCTTTACAGGTGTGCGCTTACAACCTGGAGAGGCAAGGCCGCAAAGGAAGGTCCTTGAGATCCGCTTCCTCTCTGGTGGAGATGCACTGGCTTGTGGATGAAATCGATGAGCTGTTTAATTCACAGCATCCCTCATTGTGTTAGCAAGGTGAAACTATCACATTTCTGGTTTCTCTGGATCTTATCCTTCTACTAATGTCAAAGAAAAAGGAACTGCAGAGTTTTCCAACTTGTTCCGTCTAAACTTGATCAAACATGCCATTAAGATGCATTGACAGTTCCTGGTGATTGTTGCCCTGTGAAGGTCACAGGCAAAGAGATTGGAAGTTAGAAAATATGGCCTTGGTGATAGAAACATCACCGGGGATTGTATGATAGAATTTTTCAGAATTGACAACTTATTCGTTATCATTACCTTAAAAAAACCAGAAATAGCAACTATCCACATGAACCTTGCCAAATGAAATACACAGAAATCAAATAGACATCTGCAGGAAGAGACAATGGTGACACTTAGCCAACTGGAAGAGATCCATATTTGTACCCATTGTAAAGAAACGCGAACAGACAGAATGCAGGACTTAGTGAACAATGTCATTAATATCACACGCCAGTGAAATTTTGCTGAAGTTCATTTTAAATGGGTTCCAGCAGTCTATTAGCAGGACAGTGCTTGAAATTCAAGGTAGGTTCAGAAGAGGATATGGAATAAAAGACAGCATTGCTGGTATCATTTGGATCCTGAATGAAAGCAGAGAATATCAGAAAGATATTTACTTGTTTTATTGACCACGAAAAAGCATCCGACTGTGTGGATCCTAACAGATTATGGATAGCATTGTGAAGAACGAGAATTCCAGAAGGCTTAATAGTGCTGAAGCAGAAACGGCAAACAGGCAGTACTTCAAACAGAATGCGACCTTAAACTCAGGAAAGGTGTCCAGGGTCGTATCCTTTCACTATGTTTTCTCAATTTATACGCTGAGCTAATAAGAGAAGAAGGTGGCATCGAGATTGGAAGAAGATTCGTGAACAACCAAACACATAGAGATGGCATAACTTTGCTTGCTGAAAGTGAAGAAGATTTGGAACATTGACTGATTAAAATTTAAAACCTACAGGCTTCGATATGGATTATACTTCAGAGAAAGTAAAAAACTCACAAGTTGGCCAATAAATGGAGAAAAGAATGAAGTTCAAAAATCTCATTTTACTTGGCTCAATAATCCATCAATAGAAATAAACTTCCCGTCACTGAGTTAATTCTGACTCACAGTGAGTCTGGGGACAAGGAGAACTGTCCCTCTGGGTTTCCAAAGCTGTAAATCTCTACAGCAGCAGAAAGCCTCATCTTTCTCCACCAAAGAGCTTGTGGGTTTGAACTGCTGACCTTGGGGGTTAGCACCTTAACCCATAGCCAACTATGCACCAGGGCTCCTATTCCAGTTTCTCCTCAGATATTATAAGTCTTGCCTATGGAAATAGCAGCCAAGAAATTAAACAACAGATGGGGGAAATTTGCTGCAAGAGACCTTTTGTAAGTAAAAGCAAAGATGTCACTTTGAGGACAAGGGGTAGCTGATCCCAGTCATAGTATTTTCAATTTCTTCATAGCATATGAAAAGTAAACCAGGAAGAAGGAAGATCAAAGAGGAATTGATGCATTTGAAATATAGTGTTGGCAAAAAATATTGAATACGCCACAGTGATTTTTTTGTGTGTGCCAACATGGCTCCCACAGGATCATGTGGGTGGAGTTTAGCCTGTCAGTCAGGCTGCAGCTTGATTGGAGGGTGATGGAGATAAATGGTTTCCGGGAGGTGGGCCTTTTTCTGCTTTCACCTTCCAAGTCACGTGGAGCCACACTGAGACCTGTGAGAGCCCTGGAGATGCTTCCACCCCCACTGAAGCCACAAGACTTTGTACCCACTGGCCTGTGATCTTCCTGCATTTTTGCATCATTGTATGTGCTGCGTGAATCTAGAAAGGGATTTATGGACTAATATCAGAGTTGTGGACTAATATGAGACTTATGGACTTGATCTGGACTGGGCTGGGATGTTTTCTTTATATACAATTACTCTTTGATATAAAGGTCTTTCATATATATATATGTATATATACATACATATATATATATGTGTGTGTGTCTGGATTTGTTTTTCTAGTTAACACAGCCATGGACTACCAAAAGAATGAACAAATTTTGCCTGGGAGAAGTACAATCAGAGTGCTCCTTAGACGTGAGGATAGCCAGACATGGTCTTACTTGGGACATGTTACTAGTAGAGACCAGTCCCTGGCAAAGGACATCATAATAGGTAGAATGTCAGAAAGAAAAACGAAAAAGAAGAAGAAGACCTTCAATGAGATGGATTGACACAGGGACTTCAACAATGGGCTCAAACACAGCCGGGACTGGAGGGGATGGTCCAGGGGAAAGTTTTATTCTGTGGAACACAGGTTTACGATGAGCAGGAACCGACCTTTACGACCACATGACTGCTCGCAAAGAATCTCTCCCTTGTGCCGTCTTAACACGCCACAAGCTACTCTGGCAGATCTTTTCCTACCCAGACCCTGTGCCTCTTCATCTGGAGCCTTCGTTTCCAGAGGAAGTGGGAAAAAACAGCCAGTTGACTATTTGATTTGCTCTAAAATGCAGTAGACTGTGCTGGGACAAGAAATGGTGAGGAACACAAAACCAACGTCCACTGGTTCTGAGTTCGATAACACGGGGAAACGACCTTTCTAATTACATTTTGCTTAGGCTAAAATTAGTTGCTGTCAAATCATCTCTAACGTATGGCAGCCCCGTGTGTGTCTGAACGGAACTGCACTCAGTAGAATTTTCGATGGCTGATTTTTTTTTCAGAGGTAGTCATGGACTCAAATCGCCAACTTTGGGTGAGTAGTCAAGTGCATTGACCATTTTGCGCTGTGTTCTGAGCATCTATTTATTATCAAGTACGAAAGGTGATTGCGGAAAGACTGGAGGCAGAAGCCAGCATTTGCTGTCAATCCCCTGCCCTCCTGGATTCTCAAGACTCCATCCCTGCAGCGTAGGAAGCTACCAAGCCCGATACATGCAGCCCCTGTTTGGATGGTCTCCAGAGATAGAGAACATGTCTTCTGTCCCCTCAGCGGGGTGTCTGAGCCTACTAGGGGAAACAGCTGCTGCTGTACCTGATCCTGCATCCCCTATAGGAATCTTGCAGCCCTTGGCTTGTGAGAAGGTGGTGGAGTGTCTAGGGGAGGGGTATTTGGCCTTTGAGTCATACCCCCCTCCCAGGCCCTCTGGGCCTCCTGCTGGCCTTGTCCAGGACCCACGGAGGCACTATTTTTATCCTGATGAACAATAGTGCTAAAATGTCTTCTGATTTGACAAGACACAAAATTTAGGTGCTGGGAGAGATACTTCAATTTCAAGCTTAAAGATTACTTTGGGTCCCCAAGGACTCAGAAGCAATTTAGAGCTGAGACCCTGCACAAGAGAAAGGTTAGAAGATTAAGACCAACTGCTGTTTTGATAAATGGTTGGTAATTGCCCATATCCGCAATTATACACTGGCACATAATTTCTTTTCCGTTACCTTTCTCCTCTCCTGCGTCCCATCAGGATTGATGCGGAAGGAGCCCACCTTGATCTTCTTCTGCCGAACCCTGGTGACATCATATTCCACCTCGTCCATCAAGGCCCTGCAGGCTAACCAAGACACAAAACACGCTGCCGTGAGACAGAGAAGAGGAGGCATGCAGAGGCACGGGGGGCCGGCTCCTTTCTGCGCCATCTCTAGCAGTGGCGATGAGCATTGTCTGTACACTCTACAAATGAGAAGGGGCTCATCCTCTGGCTGCTGCTGGGTGACAAGCAACAATGTGCAGAGTTCTCAAAGATAGCTATGCTCAGACTATTTCTCTTCCTATACTTGTTCTGCACTCTTTTTTTAAACAAAAGCCCGCCTTAAAATCCCAATTAAAAAAAAAAAAATTTTAAAAAAACAAAACCGGTTGCCCCTTGGACCTAACAGATCCTGAAGCTCCACTGTGGTGCATTATGTTGTGCTGCAGTGGCATGCATGCTCCTGCGATGCTGGAAGCCATGCCTAGTCTTTTAAGTACTGGCGGGGTCAACCATTGTGGATGGGTTTCAGCGGCCCTTCTGAATTCCTTAGCTTCCAGGCTAAGAGGGAAGGCTTGGGAATCGGCTTCCAAACAACAGCCAATGAAAACTCTGTGGATGACAACAGAATGTTCCTGAGGAAGTACTGGAAGATGAGACCCCAGGGTGCACTCATCGCAGCCCTATTGGACAGGGTAAAACGGCCCCTGGGGGTTTCTGAGACTGTCACTCTTCAGGGGAGTAGAGACCCTCATCTTTCTCCCACAGAAGGCTGGTGGGCTTGAACTGCCAACCTCGCAGTTAGTAGCCCAAAGTGTAACCACTGTACCACCAGGGTTCCTGGGTTGGAGGCACTCAAAACACATCTGTGAAGTAAAGATGGTAGTAGGATGGCTGGCACTGGGCTGTAAAGAGTACATGTCCTGACACAGCAAAAACTGGGCAGAGAATCAAGCAAACGTGACTCCGCCATGTGACTCTCAGTAGCTGGTTGCTGTCATGTATGATGATTGTTACTATTAAGAGACGGAGTGAGGGCCCTGATTGGTACAAGTAGTTAATATGCTGGACTGGTACCCAAAAGGCTGGGGGTTGGAGTCTGCCCAGAGGTGTCGCAGAGGAAGGACCTGATAATGGTCTTCTGAAACATTAGCCATTAAAACCTGTGTGAAGCACAGTTCTACTCTGACCCATGTGGGATCACCGTGGCTTGCAGTGGACCCAATGGCAACTGATTATTATGAAAAGATGAAATCCAAGGCTTGATGCTTAGTCCTTCTGCATTCCCGAGCACTCCAACAGAAGAGCCTGCCTCCCTAAGGCCACCAGCAGTTAAAGCCAGAAGGTCTGCCGGCCATGTTGCCAGCTGAGCCCATCCTTGCCAGAGCTTACCCATCTGTGCTGAATGCCGTGTGGCTGAATCAGGAAAAGCTGCCTCCAGCCGCCACCATCCCTTCTTCTGTCATAAAATGACTGTAGCCACATACTCAACCACTCCGACTAACCACTACATTTCCAGTTCCTTCGCTGCTTGACGTGACTATGCTACTCAGTTCTAGCACCAAAGTGTTTCCAGAACCTTCCCCAGGAGACAGCAGCCTCTTCCCTTTGCCCTGCTCCTCTGCTCCCTCCACCCCACTGCTGAAAGCCTGGGTGTGGTAGGTGCTTCCTTCCATCATTAGGACCGGGCAACATTTCTGAGAGATGGCAGGTGAAGACTGGAGAGGGCTTGGGTCCTCAGGGGCAGTTTGAGTTCACCCAGGGCAGAGTTTCCGTGCCAGCTTGGGCAACGTTCCTCCATCCTAGTACATTTAAACCATTCCTACTTTGAGTTACTGCACTCAGAGGTCACCCTAGGCTTCCAAGATTGGAATCAGGAAGAAAGGTCCCATTTCCTTCTCTCCAGCAGGGAGTTCCTAATGATATGGGGCCAACACATCTTGGGGATGGGGACCTGATGGGGTAGCAGGCATTCCCATAAGCACAGTCTATGGGGCTTTGCTAGGTGTCTGATGGCCCAGCAGGCTGACAAGGGGCCTTCCCTGGGAAGACACACACACACACACACACACACACACACACACAGTGGTCAGATTAGTGCTAAGCACAGGGTTCATTGAGGAACTTGGGAACAGCCCCAAACAGGAGCAGGCGTTCAAGGCAGTGCAGTCTTAGACAATACAATTGGAGAGAGGAAGAGGCGATGGGATTGTTCCACCATCCTCTCGCTAGGGTAAGCCGGATATCGTGGAAACAGTCTCTTGGGCTCAAAGAACGGAACAATTGGTACAAAGGAGGCTGACGGCCCCAGCCTGCAGATGCGTGGATGTAGGGCTGTGAAGCTGTTTGAAAAGAAGCACCTAGCAGCCTGGGGGGCAGCAGCAGGCTGGGTGGGAAGGTTACCTGTCAGTCAGGCACTGCCAGGGATGCTGGTAACCTCTGTGCTGGCAACAAACTCACCATGTGTATTCCCTCTGACCCTCACACAGGGCAGCAGGCTGTGATGAAGTGTGGGGATGTGGCTTCCAATCCTGCCTCTAGGCTCTGTTAACTTTTTCTAACTGGCGAACGATCACTTTTCTCTTCCACAAAATGGGAATGTGTCCCTTTGTCGCAGCGTGAAGATCAAACGAGCATTTA